AAAACATTCCAGGAACATTAAAAGGTTTTTTAGTCACTGCTAGAAAGTCATCTTTCTGTTTTTACATTTCAGTTGTAGAAAGCAAACATTACTACTATCTGCACGTCATATCAATCTTCATCTGCTTACTTTGGTTTTCCTGTGAAGATCAGGATGTGGCATCAGAGCCAGTAAAAACACTCCAAGACGTGCTGTGTGTGAACGTTACAAAAGGATGTCTCCCTCCCACCTCAGCACATGCTCTTATTGTTTGGATGAACAACACTAATAGGGCACATGTAAACACTAGAGAAACAATTCACCAACTGTCTGTCTCACTGGCTGCATGTTTTAGAGTTTGCAGACTGCAAAACATGCCCCTTCTTCACAGTTAACCTCTCACCTGTTTTATTTTCATGGAACATGAACTAACATGGATTGTGTAAAAACTGATGATTTAAGATCATGGCGAGGAAATAGTAGTAACGAAAATCGAATGATACAAGATGAGAGAAAGTCTTGTCTCTTTATGATGAAGAACGGTAAAACCGACAGAAACAGAATAAAGGACAGTAAGAAGGAAGGACAGAGGCCTATAGTGGCATTTTGGAAGTATTGGGTATGTGGGGCTACAAACTAAGAGGTGTTACACCTATCGCTTTCCAACATCCTGGAAAAATACAAGCTGAAGGTGTTCGGTTACAACAGGTAAACATAGCAACCCTGCCGGTCCCTGAAGTCCAACCTAACCGCAGGTAAGCTTTTACACAGTCCCCATATCTGGGTTTTAATGCTGCATATATTTGCAGTATAGTGCCTTGCAAAAGTATTCACCCCCACTTAGATTCTTTATATTTTGTAACACTACAACCTGAAAATATTTCATTGGGATTTCATGTTTTTTCTTTGAATGACAAGACAAAATAACTTACAGTGGACAGTGGAAATAAAATAATAAATGATTTTATACTTCTTTTATAAAAACAAAAAATAATAATTAAAAGTGTGCCATGGGTTTGGATTCAGACTTTGATATCTCAAATAACACGGTGGATAGTAGGCAGGCTAAGAAGGCCACACATATAGAAAGCAGAGAAACATGGTAACTCTGGAGTAACTGCAGAGATCCATGGCTCAGGTGGGAGAATATGTTTGCAAAACAGTAAACAAATGTGATCTCCAGAGTGCCACCCTTTACGGTTTAACATCAGTAAGAAAGTCTAAAGAAACAAAGAAGAAAAAACTGTTAGAGGCTTTAGAATGCTTTAGACTGGGTTAGTTCAGTTTAAGCAGAGCTACAATGAGACATTTGATGGGACTGAATACGTTACTCCTGGTGATTCCCATCCAGTACGACTGAAGCTGGATCGTTTTCCGATGAAGAACAAACATTTCACTATCTGGGGGTAGAGTCCAGGCATTGCATGGCAAATTTTCTTAATGTGGTGTGTTGCGACTGACCATTAAGAGCTTTAGGGGAACTTGAAAGAGACATACTACAAAAGACTTTCAGCTGTAATTCCAACAAAGCACAGTTATAAAAAGAGTTATCTCAGCATGGATAGACACATATGCACTACACATTTATACAAATTTTACTTGTAAAATCTTTAAAAAACTAGATGTAATTTTTTTACTTTATTTTATACTTTCATTTGTGTTGGGCTATAGCATAAAACATGTATTTCTATCTGCCATTGTTACTGGGATGAACACAGAACATGGCCTCGGGACACCAGGGCTTGTGGGCAGGTCACAGTGTGTAAACACAGCAGGTGAGCCCAGCTTGGAAAAACTGGTTTGATTGCTCTTTCTCTTATTGTCTGATTTCTTCTCATTTTTAAAACATCTTTCGGGTCAGGTTTTGTTCTGCTTGTTCTTCTATTTCAAAGCACTTGATTCACTGACCTGAAGCCAAATTCAACAGAAATACATGCTTCAAACTGTTAAGCAGCTGTTCGAAAAAGAAAAAACAAAGAGCAACATCAAAAGTATCATTCAATGCCTTTATTACACAAATACTACAGTGATGTGTAGCTATCATGTAGAAATACAACAATCAGGTTGGTAAACTGTGTAAAAAGAATGTTAAGACGTCTTGAATTTAGCTGGAAATGTGTCATAATAATGAAAATGTTTATAAAAAGTTCAGGAAACATAATACAATTTGGGAATAATACAAAAGCACTTTAAGGCAGAGGAAAAAAAACAATATTGCAATTTTGTGGCCACAAGAGACTTAAACATAAATAGATGAGCAATTTAAAAAAAATTGGTAACTGACATTGTAACCAGCCAAGCATTTACCAATTAATATAAATACATATATAAATAAAATAAGCAGTGAGCCCTTGATCCAAAGAACAAATAACGAAAGATGATCTTAAACTCAAAACTACGCCAAGTACCAATCACTACTATATACAGTACAACTAAGGCTTAGGATCTATAGATCAGCTTTAGCTGAGGAAGACTTCATCTAATTTTGTGGTGGCATTTTATCAAATTTATGTGACAGCAAACACATGCAAAGCAAAGCTATGCCATGAAATAAAAGCCAAACCTGGATATAAAAGAGCTTTAAATCAATATTTGCTCCTGCTCAGTGGTGAGCACACCTTCCTGACATGCCAACGTATTTTTAAATAAAAACAGATAAAGAGAGGGCTCGGCGCATTTAATAACTGTTTTTTTTTTTTACTGCTCTCTTTGATCGGTACATAGGCTCAATGTTGATAAGTTTCAACCCGTTGCATAGCACAAGCTTTCTCTTTTAAGATCAGTTACGCAATGTTTGCATTTACTTTTGCACTCCATTCTTTCAGTTTGCTTTTCAGTGCATAAACAAAACTAAAACGGTTTCCTTTTTTCCTCAAACATGAATAAA